AGCCCCATCTATCAGTCTACACAAGGGACATCACAATCCTCTATGAAGTTAGGGAGAAACCAGTGTGCCTATTGTTACCAAAAAGGCCACTGGAAAGGCGAATGCCCCCAACAAATAGCTGATGAGGTAGCCCAACAGAAAAAATGGCCCACAAGGCTCCACTTATCAACAGGACCAACCCGCTTCTAATGGCCTTATGGGCCTGACCTAAACAATAACAGGCCAGACTGCAACAATAATAGGCCCATCCAGACTCCCTAATATCTTTTTTAATTTTTATTTTTTTTGAGTTGGAGTCTCACTCTGTCACCCAGACTGGAGTGCAGTGGCCGCTCCTGGCCACCACAGCCTTGACCTGCTGGGCTCCAGCGATCCTTCCGCCTCAGCCTTCCAAGTAACTGGAACTACAGGCGTGCACTACCACGCTCGGCTAATTTTTTGATTTATTGTAGAGATGAGGTCTCGCCAAGTTGCCCAGGTGGGTCTTGAACCCACGGGCTCAGGCAATCCATTCACCTCAGCCTCCCAAAGCGCGGGATTACAGGCTGAGCCACCGAGCCCGGATTCCCTACTATCTTTAGGTCCCCAGGAGCCTATGGTCAACAGGACTGGGAGTGCACCACAATTCCATCAGCTCCCCTTAAGCAGACCCTCCAGATAGTCACTGAGGCCAACAGAAAACCTGAAACAGATTCCCTAAGCCCTACTCTAGGGGACCAATATATGAACTTCATAGTTGACACAGGAGCTGAACACTCTGTGATCACCAAGTCTGTAGGTCTCGTCTCCCAAAAACAGGGTAATGTTATGGGAATCACTGGGTGTCAAGCCAGACATCCCTTTACGATGCTGAGACGCTGCACAGTCAGTGGCCATGAGGTCATACAAGAGTTCCTGTATCTCCCAGATTGCCCCACAGCCTTAATGGGACAAGACCTCCTGGGAAAGCTTCAAGCTCAGATAACCTGTGACTCTCCTAATCACGCAACTCTGAGATTAAGAGGCCCAGAGGCTAAAATCATGATCCTCACTGTCCCCCTGGGAATAAAATGGTGACTCTACAGCCTAACGGAGACCTCACAAAAATCTCCAGAGCTGCCATTTCAAGTACCAGGAGTGTGGGCAGAAGACATTCCTCCAGGACTGGCAAAAAATGTACCCCCCCATGATTGTGAAACTAAAGCCAGGGGGTGAGCTGCTCCATCAGAGGCAGTATTTCATCCCACGCAAAGCACAAATAGAAATCCACAAGCACCTGGAAAGGTTCATACATGATGGGATCCTCCAGCTTTGTTAGTCTGCTTGGAATACGCCTCTGTTGCCAGTGCAGAAGCCAGGCATGGATGACTACCGACCGGTTCAAGACTTGCGAGCTGGAAACCAGGTCGCAGTTGCTCTACACCCCATCATCACAAACTAGTATATGCTGCTGGGTCTCATCCCTGCTGAGGCTGCTTTCTCCATCTGCTTGGACCTTAAGGATGCTTTCTTCTGCATCCGCCTGGCCCCAAGAAGCCAGTCGGTTTTTGCTTTCCAATGGGAAGATTTGACAAACAGCACCAAGGTTCAGTTAACTTGGATCTGGCTGCCCCAAGGATTCAAGAATTCTCCAACCATCTTTGGTAGGGCACCAGCCTCAGATTTGAAAGCTTTTCCAGCACACCAGTGTGGCTGTACCTTGCTCCAATATGTAGATTACTTTCTATTGGCAGCACCAACCCAGGAAAACTGTATACAAGGGACACAGCAATTGCTCACCCTTCTGTGGAAGGCAGGTTAAAGGTCTCAGAAAACCCCTCAAAAGCCCAAATATGTCAGGAAAAAATTAGGTATCTAGGTTTTCATTTGTTCCAAGGCCAGCGCCAACTGGGCCCTGAAAGAAAACAGGCAGTGTGTTCAATTCCAGTCCCAACTACCTGGTGTCAAATCCGCTACCTAGTTTTTGGGGTTCTGTAAAATTTGGATACCTAATTTCTCCATCATGACAAAACCCCTCTATGAAGCCACAAAGCGGGGGGGTGAACAGGAGCCTCTGCTATGGGAAAAAGCTCAACAACAGGCCTTTGAACAAATTAAACAGGCCCTCACCAATACACCTGGTCTGGAACTCCCAGATGTGACTATATGAACATGAACATGTTGGCATTGCAGTAGGGGTCTTGACTCAAATGCTGGGTCATGGCATAGACCTGTGACATAATTATCCAAACAACTAGATTCTGTGACTTAGGGCTGGCTGCCTTGTTTACAAGTCCTGGTAGCCATGGCACTCCTGACAGCAGAAGCTGACAAACCTAACTATGGGAAAACCTGTCAGGGTGCCTCATGTTGTGATAAATTTAATAGAATACAAGGAGCGATACCGGCTAACCAATGCTTGAATGGTCAAATATCAGGAAATACTCTGTGAAAACCCATGTATTCGCCTAGAGGTAGTAAAGACCCTAAATCTGGCAACCTTACTACCTGTAGAGTTAGGACAGCCAGACCATGATTGCATTGAAATAATAAATAAAGTGTTCTCTAGCTGTCTAAATTTAACAGACCAGGCCATCAGGGACCCTGAAGTTGAGTACCTCACAGACGGGAGCAGTTTCATACAGGATGGAGAGCGCTTCATGGGCTATTCAGTGGGTAACTTTAGACTCCACTGTCAAGGCAAAACCTCTGTCGATAGGAACTTCAGTTCAGAAAGCAGAAATCATTGTGATCACTTGAGTCCTCCAGCTAGCTGCAGGGCTACGCACTAACATCTATACAGATTCCAAGTATACTTTGACTACCTTGCATGTGCATGGGGCCTTATACAAGGAGAGTGGTTTATTCATTCAGGGGGAAAAGACATTCAACATGACAATGAAGTTCTAGAGCCACTAGATGCCGTATGGGCACCAAAAGAGGTAGCAGTCATACATTACAGAGGACATCAAAAGAAAAATGCCATAACTGCCAAAGAAAATCACAAAAGAGTTCAAGAAACAAAGCTTACAACAAGAGAAGCTGTCAAAATGACTACAATAACTGCGGCGCTACTTCCTAGCCTGCTGACAAACTGGAGCCCTTGCTACACGCCAAATGAGAAAACATGGTTTGAAACCAAAAAGGGATACTACTTACAAGCCAGATGGTGAAAATTTCAAGATGGTTGAATAGCAATTCCAGAGTCATTGGCTCCAGCATTTGTGAGGCAATTTCACCAAGGGACACACAGTGGATGGACCACTCTTGTAAATACCCTCAGTAAGTACTTCTATGTCTCCCCAACTCTTCAGTATAGTGCAAGTAGTCTGTGACAATGTGTAATTTGTGCTCAAAATAACCCGGAGCAGGGACCCAAAATATCCCCCAGAGTGCAGCATGTGGGAAGGGCACCCTTCGAGGATCTTATCATGGACTTTACAGAACTCCCGTGCTGCCAAGGGAGTTTTTCAGTACTTTCTGGGGATGGGTTGAGGCCTTCCACACAAGGACAGAGAAAGTCACCGAAGTGGCCCAACTCCTGTTAAAAGAAATCATTCCTCGGTTTGGACTCCCGATCACTATAGAATCGGACAATGGACCGACATTTGTAGCCGAGGTAGCACAGTTAATAACAAGATGACTACAAATCAAATGGAAGTTTCATACAGCCTATAGGCCACAAGGTTCAGGAAAGGTGGAGCAAACAAACTGGAACTAATATCACAACTAAGTAAGCTATTGCCAAGAAACTCATTTAAGCTGGGTCCAGCTTCTGCCAGTAGTCCTTCTAAGGGTAAGGTCTAGCCCCACAAAACAAACAGGTTTCTCGCCTTTTGGAATCCTTTATGGGCGGCCACCCTCTCTTGTTAAGGGCATACAGAAAGACTTTTAAAAATTAGGAAATCTTACGCCAAAACAACAAATACAAGCCTTAGGTTCAGCCTTAAATGCCATCCACTATTAAGTCAAAGAACGGCTACCAATTAGTTTAACTACTGATGCCCATTCTTTTAAACCAGGTGATATGGTACGGGTAAAAGAATGGAATATACAGCCTCTAAAATCCCTCTGGAGTGGCCCATATATTGTCCTTTTGTCTACCCCAGCTGCAGTTAAAGTAGTTTAAAAAATCCCTGGATACGCCGGGCTCGGTGGCTCAGCCTGTAATCCCGTGCCTTTGGGAGGCTGAGGTGAGTGGATTGCCTGAGCCCGTGGGTTCGAGACCTGCCTGGGCAGCAAGACCTCATCTCTACAATAAATCAAAAAATCAGCCGGGCGTGGTAGTGCGTGCCTGTAATTCCACCTACTTGGAAGGCTGAGGCGGAAGGATCGCCGGAGCCCAGCAGGTCGAGGCTGCAGTGGCCGGGAGCAGCCACTGCATTCCAGTCTGGGCGACCGAGTGAGACTCCCACTAAAAAAAAAAAAAAAATCCCTGGATACATTACAGCAGAGTTAAGCCTGCCTCCCAGGACTGGGAGTGCACCATGAATCCATCAGCTCCCCTTAAGCTGACCCTCCAGAAATTCACCAAGGCCAATGGAAAACCTGAAATGGATTCCCCAAGCCCTACTCTAGCCACTCTGGGGCTGGTTAGTCTATCCAAGGCTGAAGTTTGAGGGTCCATCGACCTTTCTTCAGCCACACACCAGATATTGGCTGATCTACACATGGCTGAATCTTAAGGACTCAACAGAATCAACCCCTTACTGATAAACATGGCAGAAGCTTGAGGACTCAATGGAATCAACACCTTACTGATGAGCCATTGTTTCTAAAATTGCATGCCTATGCTTTGTCAGCCTTTGTATTTGCCAATTGTTATACTGTTTGTCATTTTATTTGCTATCGGACTGACAGAGACGACTCGTACAAATTGGGAAAAGGTCTCAGTAGCATTTCTATTCTTTCTTCCCTAATTTGGGTGTCTATTGCTTCCCCCACACACCCAGCATGTAAACATATAGATACTATCTGGCCATACATAAAAGTCTTCCATCGTTATTCATCCCAGCCAGAAATTTGCTATACTGACAAACATATCTGTATCCATAATGGCCAGCTGTACTTTACCGGATTATCAAAACAGAGCTACCAGTACACTAAAGCTGGTGTTATAGCTTGTAGCACCCTCAGAAACACAAATTGGGCTTGTTGGGATCTCGATCCTGCACCCAAAGTCGAGAAACTGCTTAAAAAGTTGTACAATTTATAACTCCCCTGGCTACCCAACAGCCAAAGTTAACCCCCTTCCCTCAACCATGGGAGGTAGGCCAAAATCTGTTTATAAATTTGGCTAAAAACATAGCCCAGACACTTGTTGTCACCAATTGTTGGCTATGTGAAAAAACCCTAATAACTAAAAAATGACCTTAGAAAAAAAACTAGTCTTGAAACATACCAACTCCTTCAGTGAAACAATTCTGTAACTGTTGAAACACATAACCTATCCCCAAAAATAATTTTAAAAGACTACTTAAGCAGAGTGAACTTCGCTTATACTCAATGGGTAAAAAAATCTTCTTACAAAAAAAATTATACTGAAATTCAACCCACCAAACCTGGTGGCCAACAAGACCTGTTCAGTATTGAATACCTGCTTAAACAACTACATCTTCTCAATGTACTATTGTCACCCAAACTAAAAGTAACGTACAATATTATCCTCTAAATAAGCTAACCCATTTCAAGGTATCCCCGTTATAAGTCAAAACTAGACAAACCTGTTCTCTGTAAATCCGGACCTCTGGAAAGTTCCCAAAGGGCTATTTTGGATATGTAAAAAAGTTACATGTACCCAGCTCCCAGCACTATAAAAAGACACATGTACCATAAAAAAATCCAGTCAGGATTTTTCCTTCTGCATAACCAGAAGAAAGATAAACTGGACATCCCCCTTTATGAGAGCTTCGAAACACAGGATGCTTAATCTCTTGATCAAACTCTTAATATAAAAGGTACCCACGTTTAAAAAGATGACAAATGGTCACCCCAGAAAGTTATAAATACTTATGGCCCAGCCACGTGGACACAAGATAAAAGTTGGGGCCACCACATGCCTATATATATACTAAATCACATTATCAGGTTACAAGCTGTCTTAAAAGTTATAACTGGCCGGGCTCGGTGGCTCAGCCTGTAATCCCATGCTTTGGGAGGCCGAGGTGAGTGAATTGCCTGAGCCTGCAGGTTCGAAACCCACCTGGGCAACTTGGCGAGAACTTATCTCCACAATAAATCAAAAAAATTAGCCGGGCGTGGTGGTGCACGCCTGTAGTTCCAGCTACTTGGAAGGCTGAGGCAGAAGGATCGCCGAGCCCAGCAAGTCAAGGCTGCAGTGGCCGGGAGCAGCCACTGCACTCCAGTCTGGGCGACGGAGTGAGACTCCAACTAAAAAAAAAAAATGTTATAACTAACCAAACAGCCACGACTTTTGAGCTTGCTGCTCAACAACAAGCCCAAATGCATGCCGCCATTTATCAAAACCGCCTAGCTTTAGACTACCTGCTAACAAAAAAAGGAGGAGTATATGGTAAATTTAATAGCTCTGACTGTTGTTTACAAATAGATAATAATAGTAAAGGTATAACTAATATAGCCACCAATATTAAAAAACTTGCCCATGTCGCAGTACAAAAATGACATGACATAAAAATTGACAATTGGTTTAAAAACATGTTCTCAGGTCTAGGAGGATTTAAGTACATCAATGGATCTGTAATCCTATTGTTGGGATCCTGTCTTATCCTCCCTTACATAGCCCCAATAACTATAAACTCCATCTCTAAGTTTGTAAAAAACAGTTGTTAAAAAACTGAGGCCCACATAATGTTAATACACCAAATTAGAAATGATGCTCTTTAACCCATAAAGGGTCAAGCATGAAAGAGGAAAATGTGACAGAGAGGAGCTAAAAACAGTTAAAATTATTCCTTTAAAAAAAAAAAACAACCTACAAGCAAGTTTCAAACCTGCTAGACATGGGACGTGAAAAAACCAAATAGCCACAAGCTGCTTTCCTGAAAGTTCAAGATAGTAATCAATTCACAACCTTACTCCTACATCCTCTCTTTGTAAACTTATTTGTTTACAACCCTTGTTTGTCAAGTATATTCTAAAAACAATTTGTTCTTTAAAAATCTGGTTTTGCTAAATACAACTTGACAAATTCCAAAGAAAAATGTATAGTCATACAACCCAACCCCCTCCCTTACCTAAACTAACAGATAAAACCCCTCTCCTCTTTCTCCAGGTTACTCAGCCTTGGAACATTACCCTACTAAGTCACGCCTACGCCAATAAAACGCTCCTTCCTAAAATAACTTTGGTGTCAAGGTCTCCCTGTTTTCCTGCAACACGATGAGGTTCCACTTGTCTATCACAGTTTTTATGGCATTCACTTTTGGGGATTTAGGAGCCCACCTGCCCATACCATACAGAGTGTTCAGCAATTTTTGACCAAAATGGCATGACCCCCACGTTTCACCCTCCCTATTCACCTCATCTCTCCCCGAGTGACTTTGTTCTGGTGAAAAAATCCTCAAAGGGAAATGTTTTATTGGGTGCCCCTCGTATGTGTGAAGCACATTGAGCAGTGCAAGGAATGGAGAGTGATGTTTAAATGTGGTGCTATTTTAAGATAGTGTTTATGGGGTCCTGCTGGGAGCCAGCCTTGGAGGCCCACCTGATTGACAGGGTCCCGGTGGGCCGAAGACCCCGGGCCGGCCCGGGAAGCGGAGGCCCTTCTGTCTTCCATCTTTGCTGTTGGTAAGGCTGAAGAAATTCTGTGCAGTCGTGGAAGAAGAAAATGGCATGTTTATGCGAAGTACTCACAGCTAACCTGAGAATGTCATGGTTCATTTTTCCATTTCCCACTATGCCGCTTGACCTTTTCTAACATATGCAAGGGTTCAACTCTGAAGCACATAAAAAATGCTTTCTTTCACTTGGTTATAAGTTACTAGATATTGCTTGAGTAAAAAATGATATAAGTATATTCACTCCTTATTTGATTTAGAATTATGTAGTTTAGTGTTTAGACATAAGGTTTTTTAGAAGCACAAGTTTATAGTAAGTTCATTATGAATTCATTATAAGTTCTAACACTTATCTAGGAGTTATGTAGGTGATTTATAACACTGTTTTCACAGACTTAGGATAAAGATTAATTGTTAAGGTTTTTACTTAATTCAATAGTTAAAACTCAAGTTAACGTTTATAGAATGGGTTTTCACTGAATTCATAATATACTAATTAGATACTTTTATGATAAATTAACTAAAGACAGAAAGCAACCTTGGGGGCCTGGGAAACATCACTGCCTACAGATGAGACCATGGTCAATTTATTCACTATAAGAGGAGGACAATTTAGAAACAGGTGGATTCATCTTGAGGCTACATTTTCTTCTATTTTGTTCCATGAAATGTGAGGCAAGAAGTGACTAGCAAAATGTAGTAGAAAGTAAATTTGGGAATCACAAATGTGCCATTCATTAGGTCAGAGTGTAGGTTTTGCAGAAGACACTTTTAGGCATCAGGGAAGGCATGAAACAAGCACAAACAAATAACATACAACAGAGGACACATTGTACCACCCAGACCTGGGAATCATTTACACATTCAAAAAATGATTCTTCTTCAACTACTCTTGGAAAAGGGCTCTTCTAGGCCTAGCAGTATCAGGATGAAAAACCAGAAGAGTTAACCGAAACATGGAGATTTTATTCTAACACAGGGCAGACTTTTAGGATACCCATTTTTCTTTTTTTTTTGAGTTGGAGTCTCACTCTGTCACCCAGACTGGAGTGCAGTGGCCGCTCCCGGCCACCGCAGCCTCGACCTGCTGGGCTCTGGCGATCCTTCCGCCTCAGCCTTCCAAGTAGCCGGAATTACAGGCATGCGCTACCACGCCTGGCTGATTTTTTGATTTATG